TAAAAATGCATTTAGCATTTTTTAAAGTATATTCCACTGCGTGTCCTAATTTTCCGCCCATAAAAGCCCATAAACACCGTTTTCGTAGGAAAACATGCACGTTGTAGGGATTAATGAGTGGGGCTTCATAAGCGACTGTTGCCGAGGACGTTTTACAAGTGCAGCCACGCGTACCAAGACCTCATCAGAAACTCACTCTTTACTCCCTTGTGTCGTACTCCCGCGGGTTGCAAGCTATAAAGCATAATGCTCCCAATTTTCGATAGCATTATTTTGAATTGTTTCATCAACTCTCCTGTTTGTACAGGCGTTATTCTTTTGCGCTGGCTAAGACACAGTTCAAATCTGTTCGTCTACTTTACCTTGATAAACGTGAACTGAACTAAACATAATCAGCAAGGGTAATGGGTAGACCCAAGAAAAAAATAAATGATTTATGTTTGAGAATAAAGACCTGTGAACTGATCTGGAGCTCTATTGGTTTCTCAATTTGAGCAATATTAATTGGCCAAGAAACTCGCGCGAACATTCTCGATTATTTGATGGCGCAGCTTATATTTAGTTCTTCAAGTATAGACTACTGAAATAATTTAATAGGAAAGTATGATTTTTTAAGGTTAATGTTAATAATTAATCCAAAATCAGACTAAAACACTTGTCAAAGAATATAGTAAGCAATTACGCAATAAACCTTATTCAACAAAAATTCTGCGTAAATATAATTCTCTGTTGATGCTTAAACGGCAAAAACCGCTTTTATATAATCACGCCCTAGCTAGACAGCGTCCGGATAGTCATGGCTTAATCGATTTAAGCGTCCAATAGGAGTCCGTGACCGGCATGTTTCGGCTTAAGTTTCCCAGACTTAGTGATAACATGTGAACCAGGTCCCGAAACTTTGGCCAGGTGTGCCAAACCGATGGATAAAAGTGCTCGCTTCTGAGGATAGGATCGGCTGAAAATCTTCCTGTTCTGCCCATCCAGAGCAGTTACGGTTGAAACGTGATTCGATTTGTCCCTAGTCGATGGGAGATTTTGAACTCAATTAATTCTCTTGATGGTGCTGAACGCGAACGTTGTGTAGAGCAGCACTATCAGTAAACAAACTGTTAGGGGCAGGCCTAACGACCCGTTATCACGCTGTCCTGATTACTCGTCCCACGGTGCACCATCGATCGGTACAAGCCGCGCGAGTGATGAGATCGATTAAGCCGCCGGCTCTGATTAGTGTTCTGTCTTGTCACTATGTTCAGCCCGAAAGCCACTCCGCATATTATCCCTCACTTGAGGCCAGAATCTGATTGGCCCAATCTGTACGCTCTGCTTGCCGTAAGTGATCTGCATTAGGTATGGAAAAAGGCTTCTGCTCTTGTGCCCCTTCTTTTTGCGTTCTTCCCAGGGCGTCCAATCAAGGCTTAATTAGACGGTAATATGTCGGCTTTCAGCTAACATTAGAACACAAACGTTATACATTGGAATAAGATTAGTCAACACGGGGCTCTGAGACTGCAGCAAGTCAATAAAAAACCACCTGCCTAGTGCACAATGTCATACGAAATCTGATACGGTTGGATCTCTGGTCGGATCGGAGAACTACAGTCCGAGGCCCCCCAGGTGGTTCCGTTACTCTGACGATGGAAACAAGCGAGTGTCCGAAGCGTCAATCTCAATATAACTCGGTCGACGTCCTTAAACCCTTACCTTCGTCTTCTTTGGGGGATGATGAAAACGAGAAGATACCTGAACCTCAAATCTTTGCGCATATTACCGAAGGTATTATCTCCCATATGCATACTCTGGGGAGCAGCTCCAGGAACAAATATGTAGTCTGTCTGTCGGCTTGCAAGCGTAGCATTTTCATTGCTTACTGACTCAACCCAGTTCCCACTCGAAAGCAGTGAGACTACAACGCCTCTCTTGTTTTTTCGCACATCCTCTCTACTGCTGGACTCCTGTATATGTGTGCCAGCCAACTATATTACCGATTGAGTCCTCTTCCAGCAGGAATATTTCAGTTTCGGTTCATTTGTTGAGGGTAATAGG